GTCCCGGTGTTGTAGTGGAAATAGAATTTGTGACAAATCTGCTTAACAGCAATATATATATTGTTGTTCTTCCCTTTGTGCTAAGCATAGGTGCCAGTTCTGTGAAATCACTGTAGCAGGCTGTGAATGAAGCATGAAATGAAAAATCCTTGCCCATTGCACAGAGAGAATACAGATAGTGCCCCATAATTTATTATGCTGTGATAGGTACTGTGTGCTAGACTAACAAAGAAACAGTACCTTGATACCTTCAACCTCCACTTTCTCTTTGTATCATTTTCTTCACTGCAGCTGCCCCTTCTTCCATAGAGAGGCTGAAGCATCAAAAGAAAAAGAAACTCCATTTTCCTTCATCTGAAAAAGAAACCAAGGATCTTATTCAGAGTTTACATTTGTGTAAATCCATTGATTATTCTTGTTTTACTCCAGTGTAAGACGAGAATAAAGTCCAATTCAAGAGATTCATATTTACTGTACATGTACATAAACACATGCATGCACATCCACAAACCTTTGTTTACTTTTTAAGAAGCCAAATTAAGATCTCCTTTCTAGATTTTTGTTGTTAGTCTTCCTTTTTTCCACTTGACCTGCTGAGACTTGGGGCTCTTTTATCTCAGTCATGCAGAAAATAAAAAATAATCCCATCTCCAGCCACTCTCCAAACACTATCAAAGGTTGGTTTATTTTGTATATCAGCCCACTCCTCCCCTTTATAATATTTTTAAAAATGACTTGTGATTTTTAACTAAGGGAAGAAAATAGGAAGCCTGTTTTATGCTATGGAAGAGTGTTTGCCAAAGATCCACATAAAAACAAGACATAGGCGGCACAAAAGAGTTTCAATCCCAACCACAAGTGTTCCTAATGGAAAAAGGGGTTCTGTTAAAGAGCAGACAAAAGAAGCTCTTCTATCCCACCTATCCTGTTCTCTCTGTGCTTCTGGTTTATATTCAACAACTTCATTGGAACCAGTGGTTGACCAGAATTAAACTATCTGATCTCCAAACTGCAGACTCACAGGGGGTGGCTCTCCACTGGAGTCTCAGCAGCAAAGATGTGGTTCCCAGGAGGGTTTTAACAAAAACCTCACACCCCTCTTGCACCAGGCACCAAGTAGGATTCAACTAGCCTCCTACAAGACTTGAAAAGATGAGACTTGGCCTGTGCTAATGGGCACAACGAGCAGTCCCTTGGCACCTTCGAGGCTAACACATTTATTAGGTCATGAGCTTTGTCACACGAGTTGGAGTGGAAATTACAGAACCTAGCAGCAAAAGATGTTACCTGTCAATTGTAGCACCAGTGTTAATGAAGCTAATTAAGTCAGTGACTCACACTAATGGGGTAGGACTAATTCTCTAACATGTACAAAAAGACCACTGAATTTTGTAAGCACCGCCAGGCTGCTCAGCGTAAAAGATGAGAGTTATTAAAGGCAAAAGGGGCAATCTGGGTACTCAAATCCCACTGAAAGCTGAAGGGCATCTGGGGCGGAGGAATTTCAGTCTTTGAAAGCCTCACCCAAAGACAAGACATTTTCCGCACTTAAGTCCCACTGACTTCCAGCGATGCTTGTGCTGGGATTTGAAAAAGATTAAGTTTTACTGGTATAGCTGTGTCGGCAAGGAGCCTGGAAAAGATTTTTTTTAATGTATACCCATTAACCAACACAGTTAGGCCATCAAAACACTTTGGCTGTGTCTACACTGGCATGAATTTCTGGAAATGCTTAAAACAGAATACTATTCCGTTTTCAGTTTTTCCGGAAAAAGAGCGTCTACATTGGCAGGCTGCTTTTCGGGAAAAGCCCTTTTTCCGGAAAAGCGTCTGTGGCCAATGTAGACGCGCTTTTCCGGAAAAGAGCCCCGATCGCCATTTTCGCGATCGGGGCTTTTTTCCGGAAAAGACTACTGGGCTGTCTACACTGGCCCTTTTCCGGAACAGTGTTCAGGAATAAGGACTTATGCCCGAGCGGGAGCAGAATAGCTTTTCCGGAATAGCTGCTGATTTTGTACAGTAGATCATCGTTGCTATTCCGGAAATTCAAGGGCCAGTGTAGACAGCTAGCAGCTTATTCCGGAAAAGCGGCTGATTTTCCGGAATAAGTGGCCCAGTGTAGACACAGCCTTTATGTAAACAAGTATCCTGAGCAAAGGGCTTTTGTCAGCACAGCTAGGGTACGTCTGGACTACAGGCTTTTGTCGACAGAAGTTTTGTTGACAGATACTGTCTACAAAGCTTCTGTCGACAATGAGCATCTAGACTACCTCCAGTTCTGTCGACAAAGCAAGCCACTTTGTCAACATGACAGTGTAGATGCAAAGGACAGTGTAGATGCAATAACACCTTCTGTCGACAGAACTCTATCGACAAACGGTGTTATTCCTCGTAGAATCAGGTTTACTGCCGTCAACAAAACTGCTGAGTTCTGTCGACGTTATGTCGACAGAACTTGGCGGTAGTGTAGACGCAGGTATAGTTTTGCTGACAAAAGTCCACTTTCGTCGACAAAACCCTGTAGTCTAGACACACCCCTAATGGACTGTGCCTAGACTGGCAAGTTTTTCCGCAAAAGCAGTTGCCAGCTGTCTACACTGGCCACTTGAACTTCCGCAAGAACACTGACGATCTCATGTAAGAAATCAGTGCTTCTTGCAGAAATACTATGCTGCTCCCATTCGGGCAAAAGTCCTATAGCGCAAAAGCTTTTGCGCAAAAGGGCCAGTGTAGACAGCTCAGATTTGTTTTGAGCAAAAAAGCCCCGATCGCGAAAATGGCGATCGGGGCTTTTTTGCGCAAAAGTGCGTCTAGATTGGCACGGACGCTTTTCCGCAAAAAGTGCTTTTGCGGAAAAGCATGCATGCCAATCTAGATGCTCTTTTCCGCAAATGCTTTTAATGGAAAACTTTTCCGTTAAAAGCATTTGCGGAAAATCATGCCAGTCTAGACGTAGCCAACGTGTATAGGGAGATAGTGTAATTCTCAACAGAACTCCTTTTGCTGGCATACACTGAATCTCTGCCAGTAGGCAGAACAAAGTAAACCTAAACCTAGATCATCCCTGAAAATGTCCAATCTGTTCTCACAGACCTCCAGTGACGTATAGCCTTCAGTGATGTGACCAGAATATGGGCAGTCATGCCTAATGGTTGTAGCTCTTGTGGTAGCCAAATCTGGAGAGTAAATCAAGGCAGCGCCTAGCCAGAGTTTAGGATCAGGGCCAAGGATCACCAAGGAGTGTAGCTGGGAGCAGAGCTGAGAGACAGAGCTAGTGATCAGAAGCTGAACCCCTGATCAAATGGGTGAGCCAGACACTTGGTAAGGAAGTAGAACCAGGGTTTCAAGGGTGGGCACTTCTGACCGGCGAGAAATAGAGACTGGGATTGAAAAACTTGACCTTCCAATCCAAAAATGGACATGTCAACACAAATACGTTTCATGAAAACATTTTGATAGCTTTTTGTCCCCATATACAGAACATAGAAAAATTTTAAGTCTCAAAAGTTGTTGCAAAATGGAATTGTTGTCCTCAGGCCAGTTCTAATTACAGATTGTAAAGAAAGATCAAAAGAAAGAGGAAAAACTAGACCGAAGAAAAAAATAGTAAAAAAATGTGCAAAAAACCCCCCCAATTCGTTTTAAAGGAAGATTAAATATAAAGGTTTATTTTTTTTCATTTTTTCAGCTTGCATTTTTCCTTCTTTCTTCTACCATGCCCCACCCAGGGAGACCCAAAGGGTGATGTCAATCCTTAGGGAGAAAAGTCCTCTAGGATGATGTTCTTCACTAGGATGCAGGATCAATGGTAAGTACAGAGATGGTTAGTAGACTTCTCTTTCTCCTTAGCTAGGGAACAGATGATTGTCTCCAGAACAGCTGCCTGATCCGCATGGAGATCCAACCTGCGCACAGCCTCTCCCTAATGATGGCTAATAGGAGCAGGCAAATGCAGATCTGCCACACACTGCCACTGGAACGGACAGCAGCCAGTGCAGCTGGCGGGAATAGCTCTGAGGAGATGGAACCTTCAGGATGTTCTTTGGTGGGGAAAAATAGATTGATCTGGGGCTAGCTGACACTGTCCAGACTCAAAGTCGGGATGCGAATGGGTAAGTGGTTAACCAATTACCCAGTAAGCATCACTCTTACTGGGCAGAAGGCTGCTCCAACCTGCAGAGCTGGGAGTCAGCAGACTCGCCCGGGGTTGGAAACAGCAGCCCTCTACCAGGGTGCCAAGTCCCAGCCCATGTGGGCTGTGAACCAGCAACCCAGCTTGAAGCCGGAAACAGCTGGAAGCTAAAGCAGCCATCCCCTGCCCTATTAACTTGTTAAACTTAACGTTTAGCCGGTTAACTAATTAAATGGAATTTTACATTCCTAACTCAAAGGCCCTTTGTGGCTAATCCAATAACAATATGGTGTTTATGGTCACAGTTCCTGGACTCCATTTTGGTTTCACAAAGGCATGATCATAGTATATATAACCCACCACAATTAACATTATGAATTGACTAGCGCTGATTAACAACACAATGTATTTAATCCCAGCAAGAGGCAAAAATGTAAAAAAGGAAGTTGGAGAAAACGAAACTATTTGAATAAAGAAAAAAATCCTCTTCAAAATCTCTGGACTGAGAGTAACTTTTGCTTTTTTCACTCTCAGGAGGAAGTGGTAGCAAAATGGTAAACCTCTGAGAGGGGGCATGAATAGAGAAAGAGCAGCTAAGTAGAAGACACCAGTATGATCCATGTATAGCCTTTTTAAATGATGCCCATCTCCCACAACAGCATCCTAAGCAGCAAAAAGTCTTCCCTAGAATATCGTTACACCAGCGATACACCAGCCATAACAGGATGTGCATTTAGCAGAGAAATACAAGCACAATATGCCAGACTGAATTAGAATCCAGGTTGTAAAACAGAGTAACATTAATTCTGTGTAATGAAATAATGATGTCTGGAGATCTGTTTTTCATGAAGAGGCATGTGTAAAGCTGTGTCTTGCTTGTGTATGTTGCCCTAGAATGAGCAGGCTGGCAGAACAGTAATTCCATGAGGTAACCCAGCCCATCGACTCAGGGGACCAAACAATTATTTTAAAATAAAACAAGGAAGAGATAAAGTATTGGAAAATAATGCTTCCTTTCTGCCACCCTTTGTCTAGTCCATTTATATTTAAGCTCTGTGGAGCAGAGATGGTTCTCTTGCTTTTAACAGCATCTAAAATGATTATAAATTCTTTTATTATTCCTAGCACTGCTATTCCCCAGCTAAGATTATGGCCCCGTTGCGCTAGCCAATGCACACGCATAACGTGGACTTCCCTGTTTCAATACTCATCCTTGCTCCAT